GTCATTAATACATTAAAATCACGGTTAAAATTAGTTTTAGTTTCCTTTTTGATGCTTGGTGTAGTCTCTAATTGTATAGAAACAACTGTGCAGCAGAAAAGATTTTACTTGGAACTTAAAACTTGTTTATCAAATTTAATTATTTAATGTCATCTGGCAATATGTAAAATAATGTACATGTACGTGAATTTTTTTATAGTGGGCCATTGATACTGATAAATAAGATTACTTCATTGAGTGTTATAGTTATAAACAATTATTAGTTGAAAATATGTTCCTATCCTTGAGTAAAACATTTTTGACGAAAAACAGATTTGTAAATAAAGAAGCAAGGAAATGGTAGAATTTCTAGTTTAATAATGTGAGGCTTACAAGAATCACATAAGTAAATCCCACCTATTATGTGTACAATTCTTTTTTGTAATCTAAATGTCTGGGAGCTACACGATGTTTCCCCAGAATATTATGCTATATCTCAGGTAGGATTCGCAAAATATACTCAACAAACAGTATGGAGGCTGACTGAATTTGAAAGAATTCTAAACATGAAGCATAATGAACTTAATTTGAATATGGATAGAATAGATGTAAAATAATGAACATAATTCGTAAGGCTGAGAAATTAAAAAGAATGATATGTGTGTGTGGTTGTACCCAAAGTAATGTGTTTTCCAAGGGTACAATAAATGTCGAAGTAATAGTTAAAGCTGCACACTTTACTAACTTCAACAATAAAGGATCATGGAAATATGGAATAATTTTAGTGAAAAGTATTTTATTTAAACATGATATCAATCAGTAATTTAAATTAACTATTTTAAATTATCACCATCCTACATACATTTTATTATTATACTTAGACTTGAAAACAAACTCTAAAATCAAAATTCTTAATTATCACTTCCCAAGTTGATAAAAATGGCCAAAAAGTAAAGGTAACCTGAAAGAGTTGGGCTATTTCTCACCAATTTCATAAATCTGACCCTTTTGTAGTAATTGAATATAGTATTATATATAGTGCATATCAATTCTTTAATGATGGTTATCATGCAGGTAATGTGTCATTCACAAATGCATGCACAACCAATATTTCTAAAACAATATTGAAAAATTCAATGTTAGTAGTTCTGATGAGATTTAATGAACTTCACAAAGGTACAAAATGTATACAAATACACAAATTACAGTATCAAAAAAGTTCAAATCAAGGAAAATAAATATATTTATCCATTCTGGTTTTTCTTTTAAAATATACCATGCAAATTTAAAAAAGAAAATGTGTTTTTACTGAGAAAAAACTTTTTATGTCAAGTTACTACCACAAAATTTCCATTTTCTTTCTATACACTGTGTCATCATGATTTTCAAACTATAGTAATAAATAGTGCCATGAAGTTCTATGAAGTGCAGTATGAAAAACACTGCTGTTGGTTGAGTACACTGCAAGGAACAAAAACTTTAATTGCTGAAAGGGTGAGAGAAAAAATCAAATCAAACTTATCAGAAAGGAAAAATTTTTGTTTATTTTTTTTAAAACCAGAAAATTAAAATACACAAATAAAAATAAAATTACACCCAACAATTCATGAAGCCATTGGTTTTCTAATTTTCCTTACCCATTCCATCAAAGTAATTTACTTGTTTAGAGACAAATTAAATAAAAATTCTAATACCTAATTCATGTTAGGTTGATTTGTGCATTCTCATAACTGCATATTGCAACCTATTAGTAGTCAGAATTTTGGTGACTTATTTGATGCTGAGAATGAGAAAGATGTTTACATTTGAAGAGAATCTAAAAGAACATTTGCTTAATTTTTAGAGGGTAGAAGACGATTTCAATCAACAAGATATGCTAATGGTACTTCATTGAAATAAAAGAAAGAATGAAGAAGAAAGTAGGGAAAACAATATCTAGAAAGACAGAATACTTTCCAGCACTAAAGAAAATTGTGTTCCTCTTGGTCTCTTACAACAGGCTTTATTCCATTAAATTGTTTATATTTGTAAATCAAATACAAAGAGAATTTTTATAGTTATGCACTATTTACTAGACAATTACAAAACCAAGAGAACCAATAGAAGCAGCCACCAAGCACATTCATGTTGTCAATGAATGCACTTGTATAAATATTCATTTTTATAAAACACCTATATATTTTTTTAGCGATATGAATAAGTATATACAAAACAGTAAATTTGATAGCAATAATATTGTGTAAGTAACAAGGATAAAAAGCACCAAGACAAAAAACTTCACGAAAAAGCAACATACCCATGATTCATTCTTTCTCTTTTGCTAAAGGTGGCATTCTTTCAAACAAGTGTAATGGACATGTAAATGTTAATAGTCAGTAGTGACATACCCTTTGCACACTCAAGTTCAAATTCACAGATATTACTAATTCTTTTGAAGTGAACCTGATAGTATATCAAACTGTACCCTAAGAACAGCACCAGCATATATTTGTGCGTAATACTATATTTCCTTTCATAACGACTTCAACACATCGTATAAGATATTGTGGTGAGTAACATACACATGCTAATGCAAGTAGAAAGAACACATCTTTTAGTGAAAATGTCTTCTCATTTACTAATGAGATTAATGCATTTTTAATCAAAATTTAAAATTAAGAGATAAAGGATATTACTACAGAATTAATTTGGGTTAAAAGTCACCAAATGTACGATTGTAAAACTTCATAAGCACATTCTCTGATAGAATTCTCTACATAAGATTTGTAAGTAATACAACATAAACACCCACAGTAGGATATGAACACTAAACAATTGTCTGATACTAAACAAATACAGAACTTAAGGAAGAGCGACAAAACACTGAATCCATGCACATGTTATTTGCAAAAACATCATCTGTCTCAAAATCTGAAGCTACCATTTAATTTGTGCATTCCTTAATAAAATAATGAATTTGCGCAAGTAGAAATGGTTACCATTCCAACTTTCCAAACTACAAAGACACAAAGAAAAAAACAGATTAATGAACTAGCATAAATTTTAACTGAATCTATACCACAAATAATAATGTTAAAGCATTAGTAATATTACATTGTAATTGACAACAACAACAAAAAAAGGATAAAAGATAAAACAAAATCATTTCAGATATTTTTTTCTTTCAGCAAAATGTAGAAGTTTCTATCCTCAGAAATTGACTTATTATGCATATCAATGCAATTTCAGATCACCTCCAATACTCTGAATCTACAATATTTATTTTTATCTTAAGTATGCGAAAATGATTTATTTTCGCAGAATAAGATATTAAGGTTTTTTGACAGAGACTTTTCAGTCACAAAAGAAAAAAAAAGAAAAAAAGAAAAAAAAGAAAAAGAAAAGGTTATGCAAGAAACAATTGCTCATAAAACATTACCAATTTTTTCTACAATCGTACAATAATGTTTCTATTGTGAAGCATTATTTGTTTTGTCTCTACTCTTGATGGTTATGGAAGCAAAAAGGAAAATCTCTGTTCGCTATTATCATGAGCAAAAGTATATTTTGCACTCTGATGTGACATGTTTTTTCGAAGTCTTAAGGAAACACTAACTTAATGCACACACAGCGGTATGTAAAATTCCTGTTTCATATGATCATAGAAAGAGGATATTTTAACAAGTTGAAGTTCTCAAACACTAACAAAATACAAGAGTAAGGAATAAATTGATCATCAACGGTACTCTCCACCCATTTCACAGATTATAGGTATTATTATTCCTTCAATAAATTGCATGAAAAAACACAGCCCAATACAAATAATAAAACAATACCAAAACATAACAGCACCTCAGAAAAGTTAGTAGTATTGTGAGCAAAAGTAAAGACCTCTTTTGTACAAGAACACTGAAAAGAAATACAATGGATCAGGCCACAAAAAAACGTACATTTAATTATATGTACAATATTTCTGATTGTTGATAAATAATTTTTTTTATACAGTACAATCAAAACAGCCATTAAGAATTAATTCGCTATTATCATTACACACAGTTTAAACTGTGCAAAGAATAATGATTGTAATTGCATCATTCATACATTTGACTACACTGACTAAAAAATAACAGAAAAAAGTTTATATTGAAGACTAATAAAAAAAGGGAGATAACGAGAGTTAGAAGATGGAACCGGATAACAATGACCCGTATATTGACTTTTTATTAGTAAAAAATAAACAAAATCACCCTATTATCAATTTAAAAATCAACGCATTACACAAACAAAATAGAGATTCTCATTATGATTGATTTAGGCCAAGAGTATCAATACCTTAGAAAACTACAGAAATTTGACATTTATAAGCAGTATCAATTATTAGCACAATGTCCAGTTCTGAAAAAAAATTTTCTCTCTTGGAAACTAATAAACTTTCCATTAGATATGGATTCCAATGCATTTCTTTTCACTTTTCTAACAATGCAATGGAAATGTACATTTGTATGCAAAACAAAATTTCAAAATGAAGTAGCCACTTGTAAAAATGTAATTTTACCAACTAGTTGCCAAATACATCATTTTTCATGAATGATGTTTTCATTATGAACCTTTCACATTTGATAACATAACAATGTATTACACCAACAACAAACTGAAAATGCAGTTGAAATGCAAATTGAGAATTCTGAGTAACTACCTAGTATTGTACTCATGCTTCACAAAGTTAAAATTGCATTTGTGATTTAAGGATATCACTGCACAGTTGTGAAGTTCCATATGCAAACACATTTTCCAGTTATAAAAGGTTAAAAGTATTCTGCTATCAGTTATTTTCATAAATATCCAGTATTTCAGTAAGATTAAAGAAAATTGCAATCAAAATTAGCCATTTTATATTTCACAAGTTGCCAAGGAACATTTAATGCTCAAGGAACTGCACTGATTTTGGAGTATGAAAAAAGCAGCAAGTTAAAGTATCCCTCTACCATTTGTTTTTCTAGCCAGTGATATGTTTCAATGGATTGATCCTTCACCTCACAAAGGGAAAATTCAATTACCTTCATTTTAAAGAAAATATGAAGCGTAATTTGCTTTCAATGAAAACAATTTACATTTCATTTTGTAACAAAAAAAGGAATTTATTACTTTATTGCACTTGTTCTGTATTCATATACTTAATAAAAACTTCACATAAAATGAAAGCAGAGTTTTAGGGCAGTGTTCCTTAACCATCGCACCATGGCCCTTTATATTTATATAGCCTCAAAGCTCAGTTATCAATTTGATTAGTTTGAAAGATTTCTTCTTCTTCTTTTTTTTTTAAGTTCTACTTAATATTTTTATCAAAAGTACCACATAATTCTATGCAGTGCAATGAGAGTACAATATTCGAGTTCATAAAACCTCGAACTCAGAATACCTGAAAAAATTAATGTTAAATAAACGAAATTGAAATTGAACGAAACGAACGAACACCTCCTGGAAACTACACTTCAAGATAACAAGAGTACCGGAATTTAAACAATCTCTTTTTATTTCATAATATTTCTTGAAAATACAGTAATTCTCTTCCTTACATGAGTACCATTTCCTTATAGTATGTTACTTTATTATAAATAAAAAATGTCTTAGGCCCATGCATTCAAAAAGATCAATGAGCATCAATCTTGCAAGGTTGAGAAACACTGCTCTTATATGAATCACACAGAAACTGCACATATCCTACTACTTTTAACAATTTTCCTTCTCTCCCACAGTAATTGATTTTCAAGATATTTTTTTTTCGTGTTTCAAACAAGTCTGTCGGTTTTACTCCTGGAAACCTTGTAGTTCCTATCTTTAATTTTTTAATTTTTTCTTCTTTTTTGGGGGGAGGGGGGGGGTGGTGGTGGTGGAAAATTTTAGGATTACATATTTAAATTTTTGAACACAATGTTTGCATTCATTACATTCTAATGAGAAACATGAGTAACTTTCAAATAAATTTACAAAATGCAATCAGACACATCACAGCACCTCTTCAGAACATAAGTACAAAATGTAAAGAAAAACTTAAAACTCTAATAATTCATCTTCACTCCTAAGGTTTTAATTTTTCTGTTCAGTAGAATTCAATTGGATATTGAACATTGGTGATTTGTAGTACTACAAAGTCAATATCACATTTCCAAAAATATCTTAAATACAGTATTAAACAAAAAAGGTAAAATCTTGTTACTAAAACAAAATTCGCACACAAAACCACTTTTACAGAGAAAATTTATTTCACTGCTTACTTAACCCATTTGCACAACAAGAATAATTTGATTTTCTTAGATCTAGCCAAATTATACATTTTTGACATAGTCCAAATTTTATACAATCATTCTTCACCCTTTCTTCCAGAATTAGATATTATCCTTTATCATTATTGTTGAAAGTTACATAATTCTTACAATTTGTATAAAAGGACTTCTTAAAAGGCACAAAAGAAAGTTGAAAATTGGTATGTGCTAATAAGTGAACTGCCTTGCTTGCCCTTAAAAGAGAACATTGATATTGATTTAACACTACTGAGCAAGTGTGAATCTTCCCCAATGCACCACTCATTCTATCTAATACTTGTTTATACAAACTACATTTTCTATTTTCTCCACCCCATAATTTAGCACTCCCATTGTTCCAAATAAATTTAAATACCAAAAGAAAGCTTTTGTTAAATAAATGTATTTCAACCACAGGGTACACATTAACTAGATGGTCCTTGATGTTCAAAAGTAACATTATCAGGTAATGTACAAGTGCCTATCCACAATGAAGTTTCAGTTCATATTCCAAAATCATTGGGATTGCTTCACAACGGGGCAAACTTTACCAGTACAGTGTCACTTTTTTTTTTTGGTTTTCACTAAAAGTTTTGAAATATTATCTCATAATTAGCAAAACTGCCACATATGAAACCTCATTTAAAACTGTCTAATTGAGACCATGTCTGAATATGTTCACTTACTATAAAAATTAAATTTCACATTCAAAGCTGTTGATAAAAAAGACTTTCCAAAATTCTTTTGTCTGGTTTACACCAACATTTTCGCTTTTCTAATTAGGTGATGTGACTAACAGAGAATACCAACAAAACAATGTACATCTAGAAAAGTTCTATTTATCCTATCAAATTTTAGACAAGAAAATCACCCAATAACATAAATAAGCTATGCAGTTGAACATTAAATTTGAGTATTTTGTATGAATACGACTGCCTTGGATGCAAAGTTTTCTTAATCAGTTGGGTCTTGCAGAACTTAATTGTTTGGTGACTATTTCACAGTTATATGAGAAAGAATTTTGGAAAACACTAAAAATATTAGGCTGGTGTTCATTGAGTTACCGAAGGAAAAAGAAATATCCACATTTATGGCTTTTTTATTTATAAATTGCATCAAAAACAAAATTTTGTAAGTGTGTACAAAGAAGCATTTTGCTAGAATTGGAAAAACACTACAGTTTTGAAAAAGTGGACACTGGGAAAACAACACCACATTAAAAAGGATTAATCGGCTTGTAAAATGTAGGAAGCACTGATGCATATGCCAATGCATACACCTGCACAGAAGGATGATACAGGCCAAGACATCAGGTACATAAAATATGTTCTGGAGGGGAAAGTGTAAGTATTCAAAAAATAAAAATAAAATGTTGATTTCACTAATATATTCATCAGTCTGATTTTGTGTTAAGAGTACATAATTCTCAATAATCACAGAAACTGTAACATAAAATACTGATATACGGAAGCAATTGTAAAACTTTTGCCCATAACAAAATAAATTATGGACAAACATATTGAGTACACACAATTGTACAGCACGTTAAAACGATCACATAAACCCTGAATCATAAAATGTCTCCATATTACAGCATCTCCACTCAATAAATATTCCTACCATCTAATAAATCCAAATACTTAACTCTTCAGCCAAAATTCTCCTGAATGCAACAAACTCAGGTAAAATTTGATAAAAACTGGCAGTGATTACATCACCATCATCAACATTCACCCCAAAGAGTGAAATATAAACTAATATAACAAAAGAAATAGGAACAGTTAAACCATTACCTCTAAGAAAGAAAAAAAAAATCATTTGGTTGTATACCTGTAACTCTAGGGGGAATGACTCCTAAGTTGTACAATACAAATTCACAGAAATCTGTTACAGAGACAGAGTTACAATTCACTTACAAATATTTTGGCACATTCATGATTTTACTTCCTTACAGATCTGTACATACCTATCATCTAAAGATATTGTACCTCAAGAAATTGAAATCATTTGTAAGCTGCAAGCATTCACTGACCAGACTATCTTACTTCTTATGTCAAACTCATTACAGAACTTACCAAATTAAATGCATCTACAAAGATTGCCAGTTACATTTAGTAAACTGGATAAAAACAATACTTTCTGTAAAATTGGTATTTCAAACACACAAAAAAAGAACTTCTCCAGGAAAGTTCATTCACAGATTCACATGTGTTCAAGATTAGTCACCGAAAATGAACATAACCATTTTACAATTTTAATTCTGAATCCCATTGCACTATCCATACATGTTCCATGAAGTAATCATTCCCTATCATACAGTGCAATCCCTTGCAAGGCTTACATCCTCATTCAACACTTCAGCCTGCTCAGTCATCAACTGACAGGCAGGCTCAGATCTCTGGTGGCCATCAGCATGATTTTGGCTGTTTGCTAGCATGTGGGCTTCTGTGGTCATCCCTGCATTACTCACCAATTCTGTACCACTCCTGCTGCTGTTAGGAGCACTGCTGGACATCAACCTACCATTGGTGCTACTGGTACTGAGATCGCCACTGTGGTCATGCTGCACCATGGCAGGACAGGCCTCTGAGACAGGCTCGCAGGGGTCCCGGGCAACATTGCCCTCAGGCCCAGCTGATAGAATCTCCTGGCTGCTGCTGCTGCTAGCAGCAGGTGCCCCTGGTCATCAGCTATGCTCTTCCTCAGCTGGCGGGGCTCCTTCCTGCAGAAGATGCTCAGCCACTGGGACTGGTCGCAAGCGATCAGGCTGTTTTTTCTGCAAATACAAATGCACCACCATAAATAGTACTACTAAGTAATATGAGACTACAAATAATTTATTAATGCCAATTATCAAAGATTAGAAAAATTAAACCTTAATTATAATAGTCTTAACCTTCCAAATAGATAAAGCTCTGCCTATCCTTGGGTTGTTAAAACACACATTAATTTAATGAACTTATTTAGAATTTTGTAGTTTTCAGTAATATTTTTCTAGAGTTATATCTACTATAAGTTATTTTCATCCCTAACAGCATCAGTTCCCAGACACATGCACTAGACAACTAGTAATTTTATTGAAATGAACAAATGAAATGACACAATGCATTCCAAAAGTAAACTTTAGAGCTGGTGTAATTTTCATTCTTGTCAAAACTTGCAGATACATACATTTTTTGAGCATGTATAAAACAGCACAAGCCTGCAGCTATTGCAACATTTCACATTAGAAATATATAAATCTCCAAATACCCTTCAAATTCAGAAACTACTTATCATATAAAAAAATATTAAAGAGTTCATTATAATCTCTTGAACACCTGTACCTTTCTTCGGAATGGAAAGCAACCTTTCTTCTCGGGTTCTGGCATTGCATCAATAATAAGATCTGGCGTAGGAGTATTGTTGGGTCCAAACACATTCAGTTCTTTAAAACATTCTGTTTCTATCATCTAAATAAAAGAATACATGAAAAGGAATTAATTCAATCATTAACATTACACAACACTAAGGCAATAAATCAAAGTAGACTGTTCATTATCCTGGTATACCAATTACATTTCAAGCTATTATGCATCAATGTAAAGTACCAATTGTGATTTCACAAAACCTCAGGCAAAACAAAACATGAAGCAAAAAATTGTAATGCAACCTGAACATCTAAGCACAGCAAAAACACAACTATAAATAGAAGCAATCACAGCCCTTGAAACAAAATCTCTACAATGCACACACAAAAATCAAATATTTCTGAAATATGATTAACAAAATCATATTCATATTTGAAACAGGTTTCTTTATTAACTAAAAAAATTAATTACTTTCAGGCATTTCAAAACATCAATATGACTATTTTCAACACTTTCTATTTCCTAAGGCTCACAGATATCTTTATTGCTCTACACCAGGGGTTTTGAAGCTGCATCACGGTGGTCTATTAAAAATGATCTTTAGATGACATTACTTTAATCCTTTTCTCATTTATGTCCACAAAATAATTTTGTACTATCATAATATATGTTATTTGTAATATATACGATTTATTTTTCTAATTAATTACAGATTAATTGTGTCTATACAAGTTCTTCACCAATAAGCTGTACTGCTTTAGCATCGATGTATCCCTAAGGATAATCAGGGATATTTAATTTTTCTACCAATGCAGTTCCCGTGACCGTGAGAGCTGTGTCCAACCTGCGTTTCGTCGATTCGTGATTGAAATTAAACATCAAAAAAGAATTGTGAGTTGCAGTTTCAAATTTTGAACACATTGTTAATAAAGAAGCAAGCTCAACCTTCCCATCAAGTTTTAGAAGAATTTTGCCATACAATTAAAAGTTGAATAAAATGTGTTATGGTATTTTAATACCTAATTAAAATGGAGAAATAAAATGACCTATTATAACAGTTACTTATTTGTGTTGAATCTTTAGTAGACCTATGTTAACCCTTATACTTGAAACTTATTGTTACCAGGGGAGCCACAGAAACATTCAAGGGCCCTGTGTCGGAAAATTCGGTTCAAGGGCCCTGTGTCGAAAGAAAGAAAAAAGGAAAAATAATTGAAAACCCCTGCTCTACACCCTATTTCAAAATCTTTATTTTTTTTAAATTGTTGGAAGTTTTGACCATACCCTCTTGTCATGCCTAGGGCAGTAGTTTATGGTCATATATAATGAGCAAGAATTTTGCAAACAGATTTTAATCAAAACTGGCAAAGAAAAAATAATTGTGATCCATTGTACAGTAATTTCATTGAATGAAATCAAAGTTGGAACAAAAGCAAATTTATGTTCTGTTTCCATTCACTGCATACCTCTTGCTGCCAGGGTATCGACACTGAGCCAGTGTTGAATTTGCTGTAGAATGTGTCATCTGTGGCATCCAGGTTGACACCTTTGACAGTTGAGAACTGTTCTATGTCCAAAACATCCTTGGCATATACAGCATGAGGCTACACAACAACAACAAACACCAACATTCTATAAACAGTTCCAATTTTTAAACACCTCATCCTTACAGTGAGATCCTTGCAAAAATTCAACCAACATCTTGTTTTAGAATCAGTGAAATTTTAAATGAAGGTTTCATTGCTACTTTCAGCTCCACCTTCGATTTCAGTCATATGCATTCCTAAACAGGTCATAATATAATGAATTTACAGATGTTTTTAAACCCAACCCAAGAAATATTGATACAAATGATTAAAAAATGAATGGACATTATCATGAGATATAATTTATTTGGCATAATAATAATAATAATAATAATAATAATAATAATAATAATAATAATATCATTATCATTATTATTATCTCAAGAAAAAATATTTAAATACTTGTATCTCAAATCCCAATGAAGTAAAATGAAGGTCTCATACATGAGCCCTTGTGGTGTAACAAAATATGTTGTAGTCAACAATGCATTTAAAATTAATAATGGAAGTACCAAAACATTAATTTTAAGATTGCAATTTCCATAATTTAGCAACAAATAAAAAATTATTCTCATCCAATTTTGATTTATATGTATCACACTGTAAAACTAAGGTATCTTTGTACGATTTACAGAATATGCCTGAACAACAATATATACACAATACATTGCATTATCACCATCACCACAACAACCATCCCTGCACACCATCACCAGCCCTTCACCATCACGACATTTAAATATGTACTACTAATAAATGAACATGCCATTGATTATTTCCTTTTTAATACATCTGCGGCTTATTGCAAAATATCACAAAGTTGCGTTAACTAAACTTTTAGGAATTCAAATTTTAAACTATTTTTGCATTATAAATTCAGTCCAATGTGCATTTAAAGAAAAACAACCTGTCAGTTAATGGGATTTAAACTCTCTAATGCACTTAAGGAGTTTTTGAATGATTATTGATGATTAAAAAACAGAGCAGAAAAATATAAAAATAAGATTTTGTAATAAGCCAATAACATAATTAATAAATATACAAATGTACTATCAAGCATGTAAATAAGGTTGTTAAAAATGTACAAATCTAATACAGTGATCAGACTAAAAATCCAGAGTTTGCTAATAATTAAAGCCATACATATAGCTTTAAAACTTTACGATTACACAGACACAAAACAAAATGTAGTCAAAATATTCAATTCATTGGCATATAATGGTTAAGAATTAATTTTCACTAGTATGAAATCAATGAAGTAAAACTCCTTTAAGTTGGATTCCTTTTGTGCTTCAAAAAAATTACTTAGAGTTGCTAGGAATGGGTCACATTCTACAAAAGGCCCAAAACAGGAGGAGTTCTGCTGAAGTGTTCAAAATACAAGCACACACAAATAAATGGGCCAATGTGGAATTTTTGAGCAACACACATTCCCAAACAGAAAAGGTGATAAAACTTTAGTCAGATATTTATTTCACATGTTTACTGAGCTCTCCTCCTTTTTATGACAGTATTCATCAAATGAACAATGTTTTAAAAGAAATTACATTAATTTCTCAAAGAAAGGAATTTGTAATTAGTAACTGTAACATCTGAAATGATACGGCACAATTAAACGAAAGAACTTTGTCGAGGAGTATTGACAGAAAGCAACATAAATCAAAAACATCCTTATGTTTTTACCTTCTATTACTACATAGTATAGAGAAAGTATTATAATGCTGCAGGGAAAAATGCAGATATATCATTAGAAAAAAAATGCTTTGTTGGTCTCAGATAGACACCAAACTAATGAATTTTTCTTGCTCCTATGTGTAGGAACTTACTTTCTTGAATACATTAATAATACTTCAAAATTAGTTTCATGTTTGAGGGGCCGTTAATAAAGTGATTTTCAGCAAACTGTCCATTTCTGCATATCACAATTAATTCCCCTAAACTGTATACAGAATTTTCATCAATACTGATATTCTCCAGTTGTTCTTTCTTAGATACAAGTTCAATTTGAATTGTATATTTTAATTTTTGGGTCGATTTTGGATAATACCTCAACTCTAATTTCAGTGTCAGCTGTGAATTTCCAAAAATTTCAAAAGTTGATATTTTTCCGACTTGTTCTTACTATTACAAAATGAAACTATAGATTTTTCCTTCCAGTAAAATTCTGGTAGAAGCTGAATGTTACAAAATTAACAAAAAACTATAATGATCATATCATTTTCCCAATAAAAAATAATTTTGTCAGATAAAAAACAACTTTTCACCACCAATTTTGCAACAAAATTGCTCGTAGTTCTGAATCCCTTCAATAACGAAGGATGAAATTTTGAAGGCTTAAATACAAGTATCTAGGAGTATTTTGGTTTTTGAAAACTGAAAAAAGACAGTGACAAATTTGTAAATTAATTTTCAAAGATTTTACCCATTTATGTCCTTAGTGACCTTGCAGGAACCTTGAAAAATTTTTGTTCAGAAATTTTTCTGTTGCTTGACATCAGTATATAGTGTTAAAAAAAATTATTAGTCAAAATTTTATGTATACAGTCGTAGCTTGGAATTTTTTAATGGAACAGTACCGGAAAATTTACAAAAATAGTTACAAAATGAAATTGTTTTTAGATAAAAAATTCCAAAAAAATACAAAGTATTTTTCTTCTTGTTTTTATTACATGCTGAATATGAAAATATAATTATTTTCATAATTTACAACCCTTTGATATTTTGTTGGCTTTTTTGACAAAGATGTCCCATTTGTCCATAAAATATCAATTGTTTTCAGTTGTTTGCTTCATACTTTTTCATGAGCAATTTCTCTAGATCCTCCTCCAGAGTTCATGCTCTCTCCACACTTGATTATGCATTGTCTACTATCTCTAAGGATCCACTTTGTATGTGCACTGACAATGCCACTCTGTGAAAGCCCCTTTAGTCTCTAATAACAAACGAGATAATTTCGATAGAGGAATGGTGCAAGCAGCAAATGAAACTGATTGTTTTTCAACGCAGCATGGCGGATATCGCCAGCCTGTTGGAGTTGCACTCTTCCTGTCGCCTTGTAGAACTTAACGCGCTTTGTTCCGCAAAAAATCAAGCAACACCAAGATTGAAACTGAATCAAGCAATCGCGAATTGCCGCTGCCAGTTGTAGCTCACATAGAACACAGCTTTTGTTTCCGCAGTGAAACTGAGTGGCATAAGGCCATAAGAAGGAGAGGACACCCTCCTGGGTTTCTTATAATTTCCAGTTTTGCCTTTTAAAAACTTAAAGTAAAGAAAAAACTAAAATAAAAAAATCTGTAGTATGGGATTTTCTCTATATTTCGCATTAGAGAAAGTTACTGAAAGTGAGAGGTTATTGAGAGGGAATATCTACACTTATTGCCTAGAACCAGAGGGAGCCTTAGTTGCTGTTATTTTGTATTGGTAAATTCAACTTGTGCATGTATTGGTAATGTGTGTATCATAAATGTGTATTCTAATTAAATGGATAAAAGTATACTGCATTGACAATGTATATTGCTAAGGATAAAGTTTGACAATATGTATACAAAACTGAAAAAATTATTAATTATATACTCTAAAAGGTATTTTTATTTGTATTTATCTCGGGCCCTGACAACTGAATCTGGCCACAATAAATGCTAACAATACAAAGAATTATAGTTCGCCTGTTTATATTTGCATTATTTATAATACACACACAAATATATTTTAAAATTTGTAGATCAACTTACGAACTTTCAAGAAAAGTGTAAACTTTGTTCCCTAGAAGTTATGATTTTGTTCTTTAACTCCACTTACTAATGAATCCAATTAACAATATAATTGGTAAAATTTAATATATATAAATAAAAACAATTTTTGCCTTAGCTGATTTTATTTTGAATATGTTTATTTCATTCAGTAATTTGTATTTGGCGGATACTTCTCAAATTATAATTGGGTGGGTTTGACAGAGGAACCAGAGGACCTCCAACAAATTACATTGGAATACTCTACTCACTGGAACGTAGAGTACGTGCTTCCTAATGTGTTCCATGATACTATCTTTCTCCTTTACTGAACCTTTATATATCAATGTTAAAACTATCACGAGACAAAATTTTTCTAACTGTTTAGAAACATCATTAATAAGTAACCAAACAAAACATTTAAAATTGATTCAAAACTTGTGTAAAATGAAAAAAAGAACAATTTACCTCCAAAAATGTTCAGCAAATGTTTTTTTTTGGTAAGAAGACACTTGAAAGCAACAACAACGGTAAGACCAATTTCAACTATTCTATTAATAAATGGATTTTTTTTACTAACTCACATCAGGCATAAAAGGTGGTTCACACATGCCTGCTTCCAGACGTTTCCAATTCATATATTTGAAGAATTCATGACATTTCACTTCTCTAGCTCCAAGGCGTCCATAATGACAACCTAATCGTGTCTTTGGAGACTTCTTCAGCAACTGTAAAAAACGTAACTGAACTCAACACAAAGAAATTTTTGAAACGCATTTGAAAAAAATGGTTTCATTAAAAAAGTTTACACCTTCTCAAGCACCATGTAACATTGAATTTTTATTACCTGTTGACACAACGATTTAGCATCTTCACTAAATTTATGAGAGTACTTTTCTTGATCTTCTTTTACTCTTCTATCAACCTCTTCTCTCTTTACCTATCACAAGATAATACAAATTATAAAATGCTAATAGAAAGAGAAAATTATTTATAATAAATTTTACATTTTAAAACAATTCATAAATATCCATCTCCAAATGATCAGGAATCCTAAAAATCACCAATTTTTAGAAAAGAGAAGGAACACAAAAACCCAAAATGACAGGAAACAAATGTTATAAATGCATTCAAACAACAGTTATCCTTTATGAAATATTTAATGCTAGAAATAATTAAGTAATATATAACTTCCTAAAGCAAATAATAAAAGAATTCTTAAACACTGTGAGGGAAAGGTGCCCAACTTTTTATGAAATTGTACAATGCAGAAAAAGGTAGAAAGTGAATGTAGTTTACAAAACAAGTATATTATTAGAAGACATTTAATATAATAGAGACGAAAAAACAACTCAGCTGTTTAAATAGGAGTACCTGCAATGCATAAATTTTTTGTAATTCTATCATTAGTAAAGATATGTATTGTTCACTTTACAGGGCAAACAATTTTTGTTATGAATTTGTATAAAGGGGAGCAAAGAAGCTGGAAAATTTACAATTTTGGTGTACATATTTGTTGAAAGATACCTAACCACTTACATTCATTACAAAATTAGTAAGAATTCCTTGGCATGGCTCTGGATAATAGTATTCTGAAAGGACAGGTATATTTTTTTAATTACAATATTAATTAGGTGAAAAACGGCTTAGATTCTGTAAAACGAAAGAAAAACTTTCAATTTATTATATTTGATTTTTTTATATTAATAAATATCCACTGAATATTCAGTATATTGGGATGATCATTTTATTTCCAAACTAAATTTGATATGATCAATTAATTACATTTTAGTATTGGCCAAACTGATTAAACAATGTCTGAGAGCCATCAACTATTTTCATTAGGTAATATTGGAAATTAATCAAATATAAAAATATTGCTAAATATAAACAATGTACTGTAAATTGTGTATAAAAAATATATTATATAAATCAAGCTATATGCCAAAGATTAGTAGAGATCTTGCACTGTCACAGTCTTCATGTGTAGAATTAAAAATATGACCATTTGTATTAAATGCTATAATGGGGCAGCAAAATTAATTTTGACCAGGGTATGAGTGAGACTATCCAGGCTTGGTTTGATGGAAAAATTATGTACCAAGAATTGAAAACTGAACATTCAAGCACCATTTAACTGACTATCTACTACAGACCATAGCGACTTCAAATTTAGAAAGTTAAAAAAATAATTTTTTCAAATGTAAGACAATTACTTAAACGAAAGTGAAATTGGGAAGTACTTTCCTACTTTACCTCCCACATCACCCTATAATTTTGCAACAATTAATATTCAGTAGCCAACTTTGAAATCTCAGAGACTGCAGATATTCTTGTCGATTAAACAAATTAAGTGGGCATGCAAAACTGTTCTAAATGCCTTTGTGGCTATGAATTACCACATGTAGCAGTTGTTAAATAGACATTCTGCATTTCCCTACAACAATGTTGTTGAAATTAGAACACAGTAAAATTGGTTCTGAATTATTTGATTCACAATTTTTCATTCTAAAACATTTGTTAAATGAATCTGATAACAGGTTGTATTTAACAATCACATACCAATGCCATTTCGGTAAACGGAGAATTCCAAGTGTGTGGGTGAGTTGAAGGCAAACCCCAAATATATATTACAAAATAATTGAAAGAAAAATTTATAAATTTTAAAATTTATAGTATCTGTATTTAGCAATATATTACATATATTTTCTGACAACACCCAAATATTTTCAGTTTTTGAGGTGTCGCCAATGCATATATGGTTTTCAATATTTTCCTTCATGTAAGAACACAGATGGCCACGTCCTTTTTTTTTTTAAGAAATAGTTCAACATTCATCTTGTAGCTCTAAATAGGCAACTGTTTTCTACATCAATAGCAATTTAAGTACAGTTGCAAGGTGTGCAATGACTAACTGTAAGAGTATGACCGTTTTTCCAAGATGCTAATTCGCGTGGTTTCAAATTGTTTTGTAAACATCCGATACTTGTTCCAAAACTATTCAGAGAGTTTAAAAAGTGCTAAAATATGAAACAGTGCTGACAATGATGAAAAAATGCTAATGATGAAAAATGCTGTGGTCCACTGCTGATCTCCCACTAGAATGTTAATGATTTTAATTACTTAAGTAACTTCATGATTGTTCTTAATTTCATTGTCATTAAAATATATGAATTAATTTATTTTCATGAATTTTCACAATTGAAAAACATTGCCTGTTAAAGAGTGTCTAGTAATGGGTGCAAGAAAATAAAGAATTTCACACAACTCCTTAACTTTCGTTATTGACGTTTAGAGTCAATGTCTTCTTTACATTATACAAATATATATTAAACACAAAGCAAATCACCACAAGAAATAACAGTAAACAAACTTAAGTAACAAAATAAAAATGAAAAATTGGAAAATTAACCAAAGCACAAGCAGTAAATCTATTTGCTTTTCAGTTCTGAATATCAAAAACAATACTTTGTAACATACTTTCAAACACACAAGAAATTTTACTATTATCCAGTGTACTAATAAGGAATTTACAGAAAAAATAAATATTGCCTTTTATGTGAACTACAACTTGTAACACATTTTTTGGTTTAAGAAAGTGATTTTCAAGAACTCCACAGATTTGAAGGGCTTGAAAAATAATAGTGAAGTAATTTCTAGTTAAAGCTGAAGGGAAATAACACAAAATATTGATGAGCCAACTTTTGCACAAACTCCAAGCCAGAACTAGCAAAAATTTAGTTCATCAACTAGCAAATGTTACAATAGTTGTAATTTCTTAACATAAATGTTTAATGCAATTACCAACTGCCATTCAAAATATAATCACATGAAATGAAAATTTAAGGACACGACCCACTAAAATTGTAAAAATGACTGAATGAAAGGGTTTTAATATTATATAAATAAATGAGTTTATAAAGAGACAGTTGTTTTGAAATCGCAGACAGACATATCAATTTTATTCATGTAAGACACCTTTTCCTCATTAGAGAGCACTTGTCAAACAGATTTTTCTACTGCAAAACCAAGAATTATGTGGCACAACAGAATCAACAATATGAAACTTTGATTTTTTTAATTTGCCAAAAGCTTCTTTCAATTTGAAAGAAATGTAGTTTTTACTAGAAGTGTTCATGAGTAAGTGAGTATAGATTTCCTTAATGAATTTCCCTGACCTTTCCAGGAAGAGGTCACTCAAGTTTACAGAACTCAGTATTTCCATAAATCAATTTGATATTTTAGTGGTAAAATCATACATTTAGCAAGTGCCTCAATAAATTATCATCCTTAGACTAACTTTTGTACATTCTCTGAATTTGCCTCCTACAAAAGCTTAAAGCTTATGCTCAAAAAGCTTTACAACTAATTAATGAAGCCAACCTTCCAGATATTCACAAAATTCTTGAGTACATGCTCGGAGCCTCAAATAGTCAAGCTGAAGTTTCACTTTTAATCACTTGTAAGATGGTCTGGGCTTTTGTTTAAAGTGACGCCATGTCGAGGACAGTAATATCATAGTTTCAACCATTATATTGTGGTCTTCAGAACTGGAATGTGGCAGGATGGTGGGCACACAGGTTTTTATACTGTGACTGTGTAGGAACCAGGTTTTTGGTTGATTGGGTTGGTTTTTTTCAACTAAAACGATTTCCTTTGGGTTATATGAACCCTTTTAAATGTTGTTAAATGCTATTGGCTTTGTTATCATTACTTAATGGACAAAAGCAATACAAGAACATTTTGTGAGTTTATTGATCCATCAAAGAACTCTTTAAAGTACAGATTGAAAAATGATCCCCTTTACTGTTAAGTGGCGGTTAATCTGTACTCCGATGTTCACTATGTGCTTGAATTTTGTAATAGTTTTTAAAATGTAAATATCAGCAATAAGAAAAATAACAGGATAACCAACACCATGCTTTTCCTGATGAGAGAAGTCTTTCAAACATCTATATCCTACAAAATCTGGAAAGCACTACATCATTGTGGAATCCCTACACCAAAGATGATATTGACCCGAAAAAAAGGAGACGAAAGTATCCTGGGAAATCAGGAATACACCATACAAAACAATGCTTGCACAAGTACAATTTCCTACTCTCAAACAGAGATGAAAATGCAGATCAGGGTGAAGTGTTCAAGATACTGAATGGATTTTACAACATTCATAACTTTCACTCAATTTTCAAGTGAGAAACTTCTGTAGAGATACACGTAAGATCCAAAAGCACATATCAAAATCAGCCCAGCGACAATTCTTCACTACATATAGGACTATTGATACAAGGCGATAACCAATTGTCTGACATTAAGTGTTTTTTTAACATAAAGCTCTGGCAAATTTTCTCTCTGCACTCATATTTTAATTTACTATTCAATGCATTAGTGATTTTATTCTTGGTTACGTTAGAATACTTCCCAACACTACCCAACAGCAGCATTTTTGTCAAAAACTTCTTCCTCAATTTAGTTTTGTTTTATTAATTTTGTATGCATCACAAATTCTTAAATATTTACACAGACAGTAGTATAAAGACTGTATCAAGTGTTTAGTCACAGAATATCAAATGGTACGTGTAGGAGGCTTTGGATTTCATCAAAAAACTTCTATAGACAAAGAAAACTAGTCAACTTCATATTTCTTTTTGAAGAGGGAATAATTAAAAGCTCACACCTGCAACAATTTATACTAAAAGACCAAATAGTTTTACAGATCCATTAAATAATGGGAACAATTTTATGACAGTTTTCTGGCAACCTGCTATTAATGTTTTTAAATATCAGTACTTAATTTTTTACCTGATTTATAGTAATATTTATAATTTTCAACACAACTGATGTCTTGTAGTTTAACATATTAGGATCTGATTATTATTTTATTATTATCCTTATTTTCCTTTCTTTCCTCTATTTCATGATTCATATATTATGTGGGTATAAGAGACACGTATAATTATTTTTTGAACAAGTCATTATTCTGTCATTTTATTACCTCAACATGCTTTACAATACTTTTATTATATATTTTATAAGAAATAGGTCAAAACATCCTTTGCCTTACTGTGATGGAAGAGTTTCACTGATACAGACGTACAAGTTAACTCCAAGAAAAGTGACCCTAAAAGTTTTATGCGACCAACATTTTCTTCTCTCTAGCACTATTAACTAATAATTCCTTCAAAGAAATAATATAACAAAAACCAACTTTCCAAAGATTGGACCAAAAATGATTGACAAATTCAGAACTTTATATTGGAATCATACAATCGAAATAACAAGAAATAAAAATTGAAATGAAAGGAAACAATCTGGAAATAAACCAAAGCAAAGACAGTAAAACTGAGGTTTAAAAACATGTTTATTGTATCTACTGCAATGTAGGGAGGAAAAAATAATAAACTAGAAACTCAAAACAAGTGTCATGGTTTAAATTAATACATGTTCTTTTTTCTGACAGTTGTGCTAAATTGTTATTTCTTCCCATTCAAAACACCTGACTGAATTTTGCCAACTTGCCTTTCTTGTTCATGGAGATTATTTCAAAATCAGTTTCCCATTTGCTATCAAGAGTTGACTGACCCTCCTGATGAGGACTAGTCCTGATAAGTATTCATGTTTGCATGCAATTGGTGCTAGTGATAATGAGTATATGCTCTTTTTTGATACATGGTAATACATGCTGCAGTGCAACACCTAAACCATACACCTCAAACTGCATGCCCCATGTCCCAATGGTGCAGATTTTATCATGCAAATTGGCCAGAGGCTACAAGCACCATTAAATTTCAAAACATTATCAACATCAATAATTAGAAAGTAGAATCTTAAAAGAACTGATATCTCAAGACATTTCTGAAACCAGTTCAGCTTTTTTTTTTATGGACACTGATAGTATTTCGTGAAATGTTAACAGTTAACTATGATTGCAAACAAACAACATGTACAATTGAACATCCTGTCTGTGCTAAAATTTACACTTGACTGCAAAATTTTAAGCTAGACTACTTACACTTGACAATCGCTTCTCAATGTTTATTTTTTATAAATTTCCCATGTTCACTCCTTTATAACAGAATATACACAAATGTAAACTTCGAAGTGTGTAAATAGATTGTATTTGAAACTACACAAACTTTAGAACTGCAAGTGTAATCTTTATGTAGGACTCCTACCATTACCAATGAGTTACAGAATTGTAATCAGTTGAAATGAGAAGTCTAAAATCCTGACAGGGAAGTAACTGTAAGTGGCACAGTAAGAAAACTATATTTCTATTCAAAAACTTATTTATGTCCTCATAAAACATCATTTTGATAGATTCAACTTTACAAGCAACATGGTTCATGGATTTTTTTAAACTGGAAAAAACGAAACAAGCCTACTCTGATTCAACAAATGCAGTGACAGTAACACCTCCGTGCATGCCCACATGAAATCTGGTGGGGAGCTAGCACAATGCAAAATCTTTACTAGAGTAGCTACAGACCTAAAAGAAGAAGAAACCAAAGGCTCTCCTGACAAAAGAGGGTAGAACCACTAATGATCCTCCAGAAGAACGAAGTGATGAAATGTCCAATCCCTGTAAATGTGATGAAAATAAAATAAATGACGCAAAAAACGTTATTTCAGAAAAACGATGAAAATGACTTTGGTAGTGATCCTTTAAAATGTTACATAAATGGTCACACACAGCTGTCCTGAGTTTCACATAGTTCAATTCCAACATAGTGTCTTCCAGTGATTCAAGGGTGAAATAAATAGACAAATAAAAAATAGAAAAGCAAAAAGAAAAGGACCAATTAATACAATAAATAATCGCTGGTAGGATAAGAAGCATGTCAATATTTATTTACAACTAACATCTAGTATATTACAGGTTTTCAAAATTTAAATCGACAACTACCCAGAACTGCTATGCACTATGCAAATACACATGTGTTCTGTTACTCTGTTACCTCTCACTCAGAAGTCAACTTCTAACTTCTTCAATCTTGCAAAGATGATAGAAAATATAATACGGAGAAATAGTATTTTCCTGAACAAAGAATCTGAGATTGAAGAGAACATTAAAAATAGAAATATATTTTATATACCATTTCCAAAAGCATCATTCCAGAAATAATGTGGTGTTAAATGTTCCTAACAACATACACAAAAGAAGCAAACATGCTTATGAGAGATTCCAGCAAAGTTAACAGAAGTGTACACAAATATCAGTAGACAAAGTTTGATTACTTTAAATTATGTATCATATTATATTGTAATAGTGTTTTATTAATTTTAATGTAATAACTTTATAACATCAAACTGAAGAATATATTCAATAATAAAATACAACCAATTTTCTTGAAAAAATTTGAAACTTCTGACAAAGTTTCGAAAGAAATATTCTTAAATTTGAAATGTATCAAGGAATTACATGTATCCACCATTATGAATACAAGAAATAAAAAAATATCTTAAACTTTACAAAAAAATATTTACAAACAAAATCAACATGTATGTCAACAACATGTAATCAACATGTCCAGTTTTCTTTTCATAGTATGAACTTTTCTACTGAAATAGTGTACAAAATGTCAGTCAACTTCACTATTTTTTTCTACTAAATTTACACACATTACAAAATACCATTGAAGATAATTTTTCAACTTACCTCTTAAATTTTAACGATCATGCAAAACATGCAATGATGTTACTGAGCTAGGACTTTTTGAAAATCATCAACTTAAAAAATGCAATTTTAATTATTGAAAAAATTCGCAAAAATTAATATGTAAAAAAATCTTAATATTACCTTTTCCTTTCTAGCCCTGAAAGGTGCCTGACCTTCAATCATCTCAAAAATCAAACACCCAAAACTGAACCAGTCTGGACTGAAAGTATATTTTTCATTGTCAATAACTTCTGGAGCTGAAACAATATAACAAATAATCATTCTGCTAAATCAGTTACCATCTAATTTAGTACATAACAAACTTCAAATTTATTCAATAAAGCTGATCCAAACTGTTATCACTTATTATATATTTAAAAAAATTTATAATAAATAAAAGAAGTTGTTAAAAATGGTTAAATCAATTGGTATTATTTAAATTCTTCAAAGTGAAACCAAATAATTAAGGAATAAAACAAATAAGCTACAGAAAATGTTTTGGTGAACAAAAATTATCAAAGTACATAAAAAATAATCATCATCATAAATGCAGGCTGCATTACATACCCATGTAGCCCACTGTGCCAACTCTGCCACGAACCATATCTCCTTCAGGAATTTCCATAGCTAGACCCAAATCTGAAATGCGTACATGACCATGGTCATCCAAAAGAATGTTTTCTGGCTTACAATCACGATATACAATTCCTTGAACGTGCAGATGCTCCAGACCACACAAAACCTAAAAATAAGAACAAGATTAATGCATCTGGAAAGGATAAGCATACACACTCATTCAACTAGAAAACCACTTTGAGTTACAAGCTTTGAAGCAGGCGGAGGAACATTGTGCTAACTAACAAGTCCATAATTTTTGTCAGCCAGAAGAAAAACAAAGTTTTAGTTCAATGAGATGTGTCTTATTTTCAATGTACACTTCTGGCTCCTTTCTTCACATATATTGTAGTTCTATGAACACATTTGTTCAGCATTTTGATCATAACATTTGTTTTTAGGAGACAAGACTTTTGGTTTGGATTTGTGAGAAGAGGGTTAGCACTACCTTCTCCCCACCACTTTAATTCATTCAATAACTCACAATAAGAATAACAGCTGGTGGCACTACAACAGCACATATATTTATAACTTTTCCATTTTAAAAAATCAGAGATAAACATTCTTCACACTATTTGAGAAAATAAGTTGAAAATTGTCTCCATTTTTTAAAATATTATGAAATAAATATTCATGTTATCGTAAAATTGTTCATAACCTTTGAAGAATAGATTCAAGAGAACATGTTTATCTTAAAAATTGTAGATGTAGGAAGATGTCAAACAAATGTTTATATTTTGCAATTTTTGAAATGCAGCGAATTATTTAAATAAATAAATTTTTTAAAAAATTAAACATACTTTGTTCTACCAGATAAAAAAGTAATCCAAAAATTTGGGGCAATTTAGAAGAACATTTTGAAAATGTCTTTGAGACTTCACGTGAAGTCCTCCCCAAAATCAAAATTGCTGTTTCAAATTCAAGGGGCTGTGACATCAGCCAGATCGACTGGGGAATATCGATTTTGGTGAAGAATCTGCTTAGAGTTTAATTGCTAGATTTATTCACAGTTGGACAGACAGACATTTGGCTGTAAACCAATTTTTCACTATCAAGAACCAACAAAACGTGGTCTCTAACTACACAATGTATTAGAGGAAGTTATTTAATACAGGAAGGAGCAAAAAATATGCACTTTTTCAGTAACAAGGAGTAACAACACGAGGTTTTCAGCCAAAAATCACCATTTTTAGGTGCAGTATTACAGTACTTTCTCTTCACTATAAAAGTAGTATGCAAGAAAGTAAAAAGAACACACACACACACACACATGAATAAAACAGAAAACATTTACCTCTGCAGCATAAAAACTTGACCTTGGGATATCAAATCCAGGATCCCCACCCATGTTATAAATGTGAAATTTTAAGTCTCCTCCATTCATGATGGTTAACACAAGGCAGAGAGCATCCTTTGTTTCATAGGCATATGCGAGACTCACCTGAGAAAAAAAAATTATGGTTGAAAAAACAATATTACGAAAAAGAATTTCATTCAAACATTTTTAATAACTCATTTGTGTACAATTGACATTTATCTTCACTTTATTACATGACACTCCGTCATAACCAGCCACATGAAATTGAGATGAAGATGACTCACACACTTGAAAAATAGTTCTTGCTGCAAAGAAATAAAAGGAAATCCACAATGACTTCTAGAACTAATATTTTTACCATATACAGAACAGTCTTGGGGTGAATATGAAATGAGATGACCAGTTTAGTAAAGAGTAAAATGAGGGTAAATAAATATGCTGTAATCACTATGAGAATACAGTAACAGAAGAATAAAGGGTGAAGTTTTGTTCCTACAAAGGAAATTCTTCTTTATTTTACATGACATTAACAAAAGTTGGATCCACAGGTCTTGCATATAGTATGTAAGTGCGCAATATTTTGGGAATGCACTTCCAACACCAAAAAAATCTTCATTCAAACATGGTCCAAAATCCATCATTTCACAGCTATTAACCTCTTAACTTACCAATTATAAAATGAGAGGCAGTCCAAAAATGTCTAACTTATTTTTTCACTTTTTTTATGTTTATTATGTAGAGACAGCTAATAACAAACATTTTAAGTTGTAATTATGGAGGTTAAAGTAATGCTTATTTTAAAAGCCTCAGAATGTAGGTATGTATCGTGTCTATATATGTTTTATATGTCTGCGTTCGTGTTGGTGCGTGTGTTTGTTTGTGCGTGTGTTCGTGTGTGTGTGTGTGCCTTCGTGTGTGTGTGTGTGTGTACACACAAGTTGAACATAGAAAACATGGATGTTATCAAACAGAGAAAACTGGTAGATCAGGTTAAATTAATTTCTGCAATGTAGAGTTATAATAAGTCTTGTTATCAAAAATCACATTAATTTAAAAAGTTGTTTTGCTTCATTCAATCCCATATACATATACTTCTTATTTACATCTTACTATATTTTGGGATACTCTCTAGTGAACTCGCTTTGAACCATTGTTATTGAGTATATTTGGTTTTTAAACTTGTGAATTAGACTTTCAAAATCTGCATGCTTAAAATCTTTTACAGATGTTTATATATGAGCTGTATACTTTTTACAGATAAAAATAATTTTGGCAGTATATCAGCTGGGAACAAGATAAAAGGCCAGTTACATCAGATAAGAAAGGTCAGTTCTTTAAGGTTGGCCGGTTAAGACTGAGTGTATTCATCTGTTAAGACCGAGTTCAATATCATCATCATCATCATCATTATTATTATTATTATTATTATTATTATTATTATTATTATTATTATTATTATTATTATTTAACTTTGCCAACACATACATACCACAAAACGAGAATTGATTTTCTGCAAAATTTGTTTCTCAATTAGTACCATTGCTTCACCTTTACGTTTCTTTATTCTTTTCTTTTCTAATTTCTTGCATGCGTACATTTTGCCTGTAGCACGTACTTGACATGCACAAACTTCCCCAAAGCCACCTTTCCCCAACACACGGTACATCCGGAATGTCTTGTATGTCACTGGCTGACTGCAACAAAAGGTAAATTCAACAAAACTTGCAAGCAGCAAACTTCCACAAAACAGGTAACAAATAACTAGTAATATTTAACACACACATTCCTAAATTTTCTAATATTTTTTTTATTTTTCTTTTCTCTGAACATTGCTTTATGGGTTTTGGATTTCCTATAGAAGTAACTATTCCTACATTGACAAATATTGTTAATTCAATTTACTGTTCCTAGTTTTACATTCTACATACACTATCGGTAGTAACTTTACCACATTTCTTCATAAACAACATTTTTACTTAATAAATAAACACCACTGTACTGAATCAAGTTCTTAATTTACTTTCAGCTTTAGCCCTAAACGGCTGACTATAAAAAGAATCTATATTAGATTTGAAAAAAATATAAACATGAAATATTTTGAGATAACCTCTTTATAAAACACATTCATTGAGTAATTTGTGCCATTTAACAAGAACAAAAAGAGAAACTACAGATTCTGAACACAAACGGGATGCAACCTCTCATTTCAGTTTAATTGCTTAACAGATTAAGAGCATTTTATCCAATAAAATGTAATTGACAAGAAAATCAAAGCGTTTATTGTCACCTTATTATTTGCATTCAGCAAAAACATATCACTTTCTATTTACTAGGCTGTCCGGGTGACGCCGCGTCCATGGCGAAGGTGCCGACGTTTCGGTCGCGAAGACATTACGCCCTGAGGAAGGTCGCAGAATGGCGACCGAAACGTCGGCACCTTCGCCATGGACGCGGCGTCACCCGGACAGCCTAGTAAATACTGACTCCTGCCGCGGAAGCCTACGCTCTCTTATCACTTTCTGCCACAATTTTTCACCAAGATTTAAAATTCTTTACACATTTTCAAATTCACACATTTCTAATAGTTTTTAAATTCCGAAACAATCTAACATTATAATTTGCTACTTCCTTTCAAAGGTCCAAACATTGGCCCCAAATCTCTATTTCTTTCTTCTCTTCCACTTATTGTAAGTAATAAATAAAACATATTGTTATCTGTTCTAGACCACTTGTATCACCTAAACTTTTATATTAAAATCATGTTGATAATACTTCCATATCTGCCTTGTGCTTTAATTTGCATGCTCTAGATACATTTCCCATTCTCTCAATATTTAACTGAAAATAATAATAATAACTAGTATCAGATTCTACTGACAATAAAAGTAGGGCATTCAAGGAAGACTGAGTAGTATACAAAGCCTATAAAATAAAAATATCTTCACACAGACCAGAAGGCACTTTGAGCAGCTGTAAAAACCTTTAAAATTAAAATATTCAACAATACACAAAAAAATTATTTTGCCTCTACTGCAAAGAGTTCCGAAACAATCAAACAACAATTAATAAAAAATATTTCATAAACGTAATGGCCATTCTCTGTAAATCATTGATGTAGAGCTGAGAAATTCTATGAAAAAACAAACAAACAAGAAGCCAATTAATCTTAAATTTTTTTGGAAAAGCGTTAAATCTTCAGTGAAAGTTGTTTTCAAGAAGTGTCACTCTACCAGCTTGTTAAACACATTAATCAAAAATGTCTTAAGTTCATATTTTCTATCATTATTCTGAAAACAAATGTCACATACATTCCAGGCCAATACAAACATAATAATGATATTTCATTTTTTAAATCTGTTGATTAGTAATAAAATTTTAAAGTTTGAAATTTTTAAAAGAAGTAAACAATTAACAGATTTAAAATTGAGAAGTTATAAGATCACAAAATTTAATAAATAGCTGAAAAAAATATATCAATTTTTCATTATGAGGTAATTTTAAACCTGAAAGTTTTTTAAAATGCAATGATAAAATGAGAAAGACAAATTCAACATAAATTGGACATTTACTCCAACAACAGAGTGAAAAGAGTCAACCTTCCCGAAATTATGACAAGTCTAATAAAATTCGCCACCATTTCTGAAATAAGTGCAATAAGACTGCCAATCATTCTTTTATAGTGTTTTAGGACAATATACAAGAACATCAACTATTTTACAAGCCTATCCAAAATATATTCACAAATGAAAGTGATTATCTTACAAAACAAAAAGGATTTCAACATTAATTAAAAATTTGGCATGAGCTGTTTCAGTACGAGAATCTTGATGTAAGCTGAGACTAGTTTTCAATATTAATGAGCCACAAATTGTATAGTACAAGATAAAATTTTGTTTATTGTCAATTCACAGAGAAGTGTTTTACATTTAACTTATTTACAGGATAAATAATTATGTAAGATGGCATAGATTTTTTCTTTATTTTGAAATAAGAATGGCATGTAGACCTTTGATGTGTAAGGCAAGCAACGAATATTCTGTGCTTGCCTTACCAACCAGGTCAGACTTTTGAACACAAGGAAGCAAACATTCAACAAACAACATGAGCTGCTGAAGATAGGGTGAGTAGTAGCTCATTACTTGTTAAATCCCGAATGTGTTGAGATGCTTTCACAAACCTCATCAGTGTAAAAGGATTTAATCTCTGTCTTTAAGAACAATCTCACATATTTTACAAAATTTCTTAGTTACAGATAGTGCCCGATTTTATCCTGAAGATTATATTGTGAACAAATGTAGACGTTAGTAGAAATGTGAACAAAAGTAGAAGGAAACTGCAACAAATTTTCAGATCAAAAGTCAGAAGTTAAAATTTGTTGTAAGCAAATTTACAATGTTAACACCACAAAATAATGGATGACATGAACCTATGGCACAATAGAATCAAGGCTGCCCTCACAAAGTTAATGTTGAATGTTTTTGAAAAAATTTTTGAATTTCATTTTTTTCAAGGCCTAGTGTCAGAATTCTGTTGCCAAACTTTCTTAAGCCACTAAATGTACATTGCTTTAATAGGATCAAGAGAGAACTGAAATTGATGAGCGATTGCCTAATTGGGTGTTCAAAACACGGCAGTCTTTTGCCCAAGAAATTTAAATTCACAATTGTTTGGTCGTTATGAGGAGTTCTTCTGCAAGACAAAAATTGGACTAATTTTCTTAAGTTACCTTTCATTGGGAGGTGGTACAAACAGAATATTCTAAAAATATGTTATGTAATAAAATTTGTACTTTACCAGACAAATTCAGAACTAGTCAAGAATAGAACTATCACTTTTCATTTCAAGCAACTTCCTTAACTAATGTTTGTTAAACCCTTGAAGGTCTTTTCATTTCCAATGGAGAATGGCTATACGCAGACACAAACATTACACTGGTTTTAATCTACTCATAGCCTCTGGGAGAATAAAAATAAGTCAACAATTTGGGGGTATCACTAACTTTACTAAATGTTAGTAAAGTGCAAGTGAAAAGTAATTTATTATAAAAATAAATACTAATTAGAGTACAATGGAGAAACATCAACATTGCCTTTAAAAAAATTATCACTTGTCACAACCAAACAATTGAGTATGCTGTCCAAATGTCTCATTTTTTAATTTCTGTCACCACCTTTACACCTATTATAACACTCAAAAGGAACCATGATTCTTGCTAAAGTCAATTCTCAATAACACCATGCCAAAGTAATCGCCATTTACACAAATGGCCAAAGATTTACACAGTAGGCTTTTTACTAAGCATCACTGTCAAGTTGTTTCTCAAAAACAAAACATGGTATTGTGTGAAAAGAGGGAGAAGCAAAAGGAAAGAGAAGAAAGTGTAGCAAATTCAGCAAGAGTAGAGTATATACATTGCTTTGTGTGTGCATGCAGGTGCATTAGAATCACTTATTTTGACATTAACTAAATTAATTTTGTTCACACGAAAACTTTTAATCAAAATGCACTTTATCTGAATTTAACAAATGGAGAGTTTGTGTTTCCAGTTAAAAATACATTGGCCCGCCAATTTGGCAAGCTACAAATTTGATGCATTTATGGGAAATACAAATATGTGGTAACAGGAAGTATTCTTTTTCTTTGCCAGGATTAGGCTTGAGGCCTGTTTCCACCTCACCATCTCCTTCTCGGTCTTCTCACACTCCTTTTGCAAAATTGATTCCATTGCTTGATTTGGTATCATTCCTCGAATTCATGAAATACGAAGGCCATGCTCTCTCCATTCTCCTTTAGAGTGTATCATCTTTACAGTTATTGGTTGTATCCCTAGATCGTTCTCGATTACTTTTTCGGATTTGGTCTTCATTGGTGTAGCCCTTAATTTCATTTCTGAGGCTTCTAATTGTTTTAGATCTTGATTTTTGAACATCCATGAATCCACTCCATATAATGGAGACTGCTACGACTTTGAAAAATTTTAATTGTGTTTACTTTCTTGTTCTCGCTTTAAGAGTTCGTGCCATGTATTTGTTGATATGTACTAATATTTTTCTGAATATCTTTGTCTTTTTCATAAGATATGTCATTGCCCAAATACTAGATACTTGTTCTATTGGCTTGTTATTTAGGGTTTGGAATGTTTGGGGTTTTCGTTTATTTAGGGTTACACATATTTTCAGGTTCTAGGTTAGACATAGTTCGTTGTACCTATGCAGTGCCATTTGCAATTTGTCTATGCTGTCTTGTATGATTACTTGATCATAAGCAAAAAGCAAAGTGTTAATGTATCTGTTTGGTCCAATTCCTAATTATGTCATTGTATCCCGATTCTGTACGATACCTGATATGTCTCAATGCCTTATGGTGTTTGGTTCTTTTCCATTCTCCAATCGTACCAAGTTTAATAGAGTTGGTAACGTAGTACATCTTGGTTTCACTTCTTGATTTGTCCGTATTTCAGATGTCAATACTTGAGCAGCATCAATTCTAATTCTGATCTTATCATCAAACTTTTTGAATCCTGGATCAAACGTTTTGGGAATCTTCTTTTTACCATTATATTCCATAGCCGATACTTGAGGACTTTGAGATGCTTTCTCCTCGAGTCCTCAAAGGCCAGATGTGTTCCAAATTGTAATCTTGCCTCTTTTACATAACAACTTCCAATTCAAAAACATTGTCTGTCCATCATCTT